TCCTTGAGAAAATTCACTAAATTCTTCGTTATATTCTATAGTCAATTATTCACTTTTTATTCGAGGCAAATAAATTCGCCAGTTTTTGTATTACTTCATGCTTGTATTTGACTATCGTTCTCGGTAAACCGTGTGCATTCATCACATCCACTTCTTTAGCGTTTATTGCAGCTCCTTTACTTTCGTTGTTGCACTCTGTTGATAGTCGTTAAGTTAAGCTATCTCTAAAATATTCACTTTCCCGGTATATTTCTTTCTGTCCGTCACTACTCTGGCGCCTCTGCTTGTAGAACTATTTGCTAGTTTCGTTTTAATTCTCGCGTCATACCGTTTCTTGTATATTCTTGATGCGTTGGTTGATTTTGTTTTCGCAATTTGGCCATACTTCAGAAAGACATAGAAGAACGTACCTTGTCCAGAGTTTATAGTATGCATGATAATTTCCTGATTCTTACCGTGGATTTAGTATATTACCAGACGTTTCGCTTTACATCTTAGTCAGTATTGCTAGTGAGTCTTGCCATTCTTAGCGCTACACTACAATTTGTCAATGAGATAAGAGAAGTCAATCCTTTGACCAATTGCCTGCTAAATAGAGAGATACCACAACTGTTTAGGAGACAATTGGTCAAATGATTGATTTCACTTGTTTCTGACAAGTTTTGGTGGGGTGCTAAAGTGGCTAGACTCACTGATGATAGCGGCGAAACGTCCACAGTCTGGAAACTATCATGAATTCTATGGACTCCGGACAAAGTGGTTTCCCCTAGTTTTTCCTGACAAGATAATCAAGTTGCGAAAACAAGGTCAAACAATTACTGTGCAACCATATTATGCTTGAAATTGTCCTGACTATTATGGCAAAGGATGCAAGACTGAGTACGTGCCACAGTCTCCCTGACCATTAAAGTGAAATCAACCTAGCTCTATGATATAATTATTAAATACTTATTTTTTGTGTACAATTTTAGCAACTTATACATATTTTTGCACCAAATACGAGTGTCCTTAGCTAGTTAAATCTACATTTTGATTTTCACAACATGGATGTATGCTTAACAATAGTCACTTGTTCTCATTATCCTAATTAATTCCAATTTTTCTAGCTCTGGATCTGATTCTGTTGACGGCGACAACTGTCTAGGGAAAAGGAAGAAGCGTGGTCGACACGGCAATGACGAGGATTCGTTGTCTCCAAACGCATCTCGCGATGCTGATGATATTAGTCTTGGCGGTCAGTCACGAAAAAAAAAGAAATCTAAAAAGAATAAGAAGCACAAAAAGCAAAAGCAGCGAAATGCCAGCTCGCTGTCACCTGCAGGCGAAGCAGAAACCGTGGATATGAATGAGACAAGGCGATCCTATCATCACCACCACCACCACCACCACCACTACCGAAACCAGTTTGCCGTAACCAGTGATATATCAAAGTCAGGGTCGCTTAATATGTCCAGTATGCATGCTTCTACTGCCGCTTTGG